GCCCTTAAGGTGACCCTAATCCCATCTGAGTGGTGTCCTTAGAAGGAGAGGAAATTTGCTTTCGTTTTCAAGATGGAGCCTCACTCTCTCTCTCAGGCTGGAGTGCAATCGTACTGTCTCTGCTCACTGCAACCTCCACCTCCCAGGTTCCAGTGTTTCTCCCACCTCAGCCTCCCAAGTAGCTGGGATGAGAGGTGTGCGCCACCACGCCCAGCTGATTTTTGTTTTTTTAGTAGAGACTGGGTTTCACCATATTGCCCAGGCTGGTCTCAAACTCCTGACCTCAAGTGATCCACCCGCCTCAGCCTCCCAAAGTGCTGGGATTACAGGCGTGAGTCACTGCGCCCTGCAAAGGAAGAGGAAATTTGAACATTCAAACAGGCACCAAGGATGCACCAGCACCAAGGAAAGACCATGTGAAGACTCAGTGAGAAGACGGTCATCTGCAGGCCAAGGAGAGAGGCCTCCGGAGCAACCAGACCTGCCACCATTTTTACCTAGAACATCCAGGCTCCAGAACCGTGAGAAAATCAAAGTCTGTTATGTAAGCCCCTCAGTCTGCGTTTTGTTACAGCAGCCGAACTAATACACTAAATCTAATGCAATCAGGAGAAAACAGCAGACCAACCCAAACTGAGGGACATTCTGCAAAGTCATCAGGCTGTACCCCAAAATGTCAAGGGTATGAAAGGTGCAAGAAGATAGATGAGCGGTCCCAGATCAGAGGAGGCCGAGAGGCACACCAGCGAGACTCTGATGCTGCCTTGGATGCTGCAGACTCGCAAAACCACTGTACTCCTTTGCCATGAAAGGCATGGTTAGGACAGGTGGTGGAGGTCAAATAACTGATAGAGCAGGAGCACTGCCACGTGGGACAAACACCGCCACTTCAAATTCCAGCTCCCTGTCTAGCCTGCTGCATTTCAAGAAATCACTTCTCTTCTAACTACAAGCACCCAGAAAGAGCAGACAAGAAAAGACAGATAAGACAGCTCGGGCACAGAGGGAGATGGGGGGGGAAAGTCTCTCGGGGAACTGCCAAACTTCACCCTCATACAACGGGCCCCAGGAAAACAGTGGACCTTAATAAGCACATTCCTGGCCGGGCGGAGTGACTCACGCCTGTAATGTCAGCACTTTGGGAGGCCAAGGAGGGTGGATCACTTGAGGTCAGGAGTTCGAGACCAGCCTGAACAACATGGTGAAACCCTGTCCCTACTAAAAATACAAGAGAATTAGCTGAGCATGGTGGCACACACCTGTAATCCCAGCTACTTGGGAGGCTGAGGCAGGAGAACTGCTTGTACCTCGTAGGTGGAGGTTGCAGTGAGCCGAGATCGCGCTACTGCACTCCAGCCTGCGCGACAGAAAAAAAAAAAAAGCACATTCCTTTCCCTTCAGCTGCACTAAGATAGGGAAGCTGAAAAGCACACTCAGGGAATCTCAAAAAAAAAAAAAAAAAAAAAAAAAGCACATTCCTTTCCCTTCAGCTGCACTAAGATAGGGAAGCTGAAAAGCACACTCAGGGAATATGCCTGCAGCTGCAGAAAGCTGTATGGAAACAGACACACAACTCTCCCTCCCAGATAAGCACAACAGAGGTACAGGAGCAGCCCAAGCCTCTGATAAACTCTCCCACCCTGAATCCTTAAAAACTCTTAGTCCGTAAGACAGTGGGGCTCTGGCCTAACTCAGCCAGATGCCCCTCTCAGGTCGATTCAAAATAAACCTGTCCCTGTTGACTGTCGAGCGCCCTTTCGTGTTCCTTTCCTCTTTCTGTCATTCTTACAGTAATGTCTGCAGATTAGATCGTTGTGTTTATACCAGTGTTGGTTTCCTGAGTTTGATCCTTTGACTGTGGGGGTAATTTGCGTTTTTAGGAAATGTATACTGAAGTAATTAGAGGTAAAGGGGAATCCATCATTTCTGCAACAACTCTCAAATGGTACAGAAGAGAGAGAGAGAGAGAGAGAGAGAGAGAGAGAGAGAGATAAAGTGTGTGTCTGCACGCATGCACAGAGAGAAAGAGGGAGCTACAGAAAATATAAAAAGTGTACATCTGAGGAATCTTGGAGGAGGCTATATGGAAATTCTGCAAATCTGAAATGATTTCAAAATTAAAAGTTTAAAACTTCCATATTGTCCCTCAGGAAAAATCCAATCCACTCCTCCACCTGCCTGGCTCCTCTCCCTCGCCTCCTAGTCCTTCCCTCGCCAGCAACCCCAGCCTGCCTGGAGTCCCTGTCCTGGACCTTCATGTGACCTGCTTCCTCCCTCCTCCTCCAGTCCTGCTCGCCCCAGATCCCCATCGAACCAGCCCTGTCCTCCCCACCTCCTCCCACCTCTGCTCAGGACCCCATTCCTCCAAAAATCCTTCCATGCCCCCACCCTCGATGCTGTGTTGAGTGCCTCTTCCCACTGTGCTCCCAGAGAGACCCTCATCCTGCCCCACCAAGCTTTCCCAGCATTTCCCTAATCACAATAGAAGTGAATTATCGCCAAGCGTTAAATCATGACCACATCTGGTGCCCATGACTTGTCTCTTTGTGTCTTCCTATCCACCCTGCGGGCAAGGAAAGCATTATCACCCCCAGTTTACAAACAGGAAACTTGAGGCTCAGAACAGACAATGCATCTGAGTCACAGCTAAGAAAGCGGTTTGGGGCTTTGTTTTTAAAAAACAACTTTTATTTTAGTTTGAGCGGTTCTTATGCGGGTTCATTATACAGGTAAACTCACGTCAAGAGGGATTGTTGTACAGATTATTTCATCATCCAGATACTAAGCCCAGCACACAATAGTTATTATTTCCGCCCCTCTTTCTCCTCTTACCCTCACCCTCCAATAGGCCCCAGTGTGTGCTGTCCCCTTCTATGTGCCCACGTGCTCTCATCATTTAGCCCCCATTTACAAGTGAGAACATGAGGTAGTGCTTTCTGCTCCTGCGTTAGTTTGCTAAGGATAACAGCCTCCAGCTCCATCCATGTTCCTGCAAGGGACATCATCTCATTCCTTTTTATCGCTGCATGGTATTCCATGATGTATAGGTACCACATCTTCTTTATCCAGTCTACCATTGATGGGCATTTAAGTTGATTCCATGTCTTGGCTATTGTGAATCTTGCTGCACTGAACATATGCACACGTGTCTTTATGATAGAACAATTTCTATTCCTTTGGATATAGACCCAGTAATGTGATTGCTGGGTCACATGATAGTTCCGTTTTCAGTTCTTTAAGGAATCACCACACCGCCTCCCACAATTTACAATCTCACCAGCAGCGGGTACGCATTCCTTTTTCTCTGCAACTTCACCAGAACCGGGCTCTTAGCTACCAAGGCATTTGCTCTCCCCTCCCAGCTGCTGCTAATTATGATAGCCACATTTCCTAATGTTTGCTGAGCGCAAACACTGCTGGGCCCCAGGCTAGTAAGTCGAAGGAATTAGTGGTGACATGGGGCTGGTGGTAGTCCCTCCCGCAGGGGATGGTCAGGAAGCATGTAAGGAGCTAACACAGCAACGCCTGGTGCTGTGATCATGGCAGATCGCAGGCCATTCTTGTTTCCAGGTACTTTTATGTCTTAGAACTGATCTAGATTTACAGAACCACTGCAATAATAGTACAGAGAGTTCCCATACACCCCAGGTCCAGGCCGGGCGTGGTGGCTCGTGCCTGTAATCCCAGCACTTTGAGACTCTGTCACCCAGGCTGGAGTGCAGTGGTGTGATCTCGGCTCACTGCAACCTCTGCCACCCAGTTTCAAGTGATTCTCCTGCCTCAGCCTCCTTAGTAGCTGGGATTCCAGGTGTGTGCCACCGTACCCTGTCTAATTTTTGTATTTTTAGTGTTTTAGTTTACTTCATAACTGATCTTACACAAGTACAATACATTTATTATAATTAATGAACAAACCAATGTGGACACGTTATTGTTAACTAAAGTCCACTTCCTTTGCTTTCACTGCCTTTTCCTGCTCTGTGATCCCATCCAGATGCCACATTACATTTAGTTGTTTGGTTTTTTTTGAAACAGAGTTTGCTCTGTCACCCAGGCTGGATTGCCGAGGCGTGATCTCAGCTCACTGCAATCTCCGCCTGCTGGGTTCAAGCCTCAGCCTCCCAAGTAGCTGGGACTACAGGCACGCGCCACCATGCCTGGCCAATTTTTTGTATTTTTAGTAAAGATGTGGTTTCACCATGCTGGCCAGGCTGGTCTCGAACTCCTGACCTCATGATCCACCCGCCTCGGCCTCCCAAAGTGCTGGGATTACAGGCGTAAGCCACCACGTGTGGCCTGTTCTTGTTATTTTTTTATTAGTAATAGTCATCGTCGTACTGACCGGCTAAATCCTCGGGAGAGCCCTGGGTGGTGCTAGTGGTCTGTTTACTCACCTGCAGCCCCCATTCTGCTGCCAGCTGTGAGGGCCGTGTCTTGTGGTCTAGCTCTACCGCCTCCAAGGCCCTGCCTGAGGAGCCGTGACTGCAATGACCAAGCCTGGAGCTCCCAGCAGTGCCTGCCAAGGCCTCAAGGCAGGAGGGAGTCCTAGAGAGTCACACCATCCCTGTCCTCCCCACCTCCTCCCACCTCTGCTCAGGACCCCATTCCTCCAAAATAGTTCCTTGTTGGGGCAGGGAGGGAATGTGGAAAGGCTGGGGTGGGAGGGAGACAGTGGAGGGTCTGAGGCCTGCAGGGCCACCTCCCACCCTGATCCCTCCCCACAGCCCACCTGCAGCCTCAGTTTCCCAGAAAACTCCCTCCTCCCTTCCAAAGCCACAGCTGAGGGACAGAAAGCCAGGGTGAGAGGCCACGTGCATTCCTGCCTCCCTCTGCCTTTGGAGCAGGAGTTTCACCACAGTCCCTGGTGGCCAGGTGGGTGCTCCCCCAGGTGGGCGCCCTTTTGCCCTTAGAGGCACCCACTTGCCTCCTCCTCTGTATGAGGCCTGGGCCCTGCTCTAGTGGCGGTGGAGTAGGCGTGTTGTGGATGTCTGTGGTGTCTCATGGCAGGAGGAGCCTCAGCCATGACCTGGGGTTACCGTGTGGCCCTGCTACTGCTGGTCACCACCTTGGGGCTGGGTAGGCAGCTGCAGCCTGACCCTGGCCTCCCAGGCCTCTGGCACAGCTATGACTCTAGGATAAAGGGAGTGCAGCCGCTGGTGTTCCCCAGGCCAGGCCAGGCTCTCTGCTTCGAGGTGGTGGGTGAGTGCTGGGAGTCCCAGCCCCCGCCTCCCTGGCCACGGGCTGCCGCCAGAAGGGAGCTGTGACCCTTACCTTGGAAAAGGAGCAAGAGCAGAGGCCTCCCTCCAGCCTGGGGGTGGCCAACCCCCGACCCCCTCATCACAGAAAATGGCAAGGAAGAGAATCGTCACCCAATGCAGCTTCTCCCACGTTAGTGTACATGGGAATCACCGGGCCGCCTTTTATGATTCAGTCGGCATGGGACGGGGCCAAGGCTCTGCATTTTTTTTTTTTTTTTTTTTGAGATAGAGTGACTTCTTTCACTGCAACCTCCGTCACCCAATTCAAGCAATTCTCCTGCGTAAGCCTCTTTAGTAGCTGGGATTACAGGCATGCATCACCATGCCTAGCTACTTTTTGTATTTTTCGTAGAAACGGGGTTTCCCCATATTGGCCAGGTTGGTCTCGAATTCCTGATCTCAAGTGATCTACCTGCCTCAGCCTCCCAAAGTGCTGGGATTATAGGTATGAGCCACTGAGCCTGGCCTAGGCTCTGCCCTTCTAACCGCATTCAGTCGATACTGTGGCTGAAGGTCCAAAAGCCACTTTCAGCAGCAGGACCCTGGAGGGTGTGGTCTGGCATGGGTTTGGATGTGCAACTTCTAAACGGTGTGATCTTGGACCACTGACCTGACCGCTCTGAGCCTCTGCTTCCTCTTCTGCAAGATGGGGAAGACGAACCTGGCCGTGTTCACGGAACCAGGGCATGGGCGTGCCCACACCCAGAGAGAGCCCAGGCTGTTCTGGGCCAACAAGCGGGGTGAACACCTAGGAGGTGTCTCTGAGTGACTGCAGCAGCCAGTTGACCTGGCAAATGGGCTCGGGTCTTTCTACAAAACCCATGATTTGAAACCTCATTCTGTCCCTCATTGTGTGCACCTGAGAAAGCTCACACACGCTCCTTCCCTCAGCTGCCTCCGCCACAGGATGTGAATAAATAAGCTTAAGAGGTGATGGCTCACGCCTGTAATCCCAGCACTTAGGGAGGGTGAGGCACGTGGATCATGAGGTCAAGAGATCAAGACCATGCTGGCCAACATGGTAAAACCCCATTTCTACCAAAAATACAAGAAATTAACCAGGTATGGTGACAGGTGCCTGTAATCACAGCAACTCATGAGGCTGGGGCAGGAGAATCACTTGAACCTGGGAGGCTGAGGCAGGAGAATCGCTTGAACCTGGGAGGTAGAGGTTGCAATGAGCCAACATTGCGCCACCGTACTCCAGCCTGGCAACAGAAAAAGACTCCATCTCAAAAAATTCAGAAAAAAAAGGCGATGTAAAATACTCAGCCCAGTGCCTGAACCTGAGACCCTGTGTAACCCTTCTCCATCTCATCTTCATGGCTGCCTGCTGCTGTGTGCTATGAGCAGGGAACCCTAGCTAGAAAGATCCTAGGACCCGCCCCCCATCCCCTTACAGCTGTGAAAGCTGAGAGCAGAGAGGGGAGGGTCTTGCCCGAGACCATACAACAAGCTAATAGCAAAGCTAAGGCAAGAACCAGGTCTCCTGCCGGCTGAGTGGGAACTGCTTCCGAGATCCCAGCAGCCTCTCCCTGTACCCTTCAGCATACCTGGCCCCTCCTCTTCCCCACTGCAGACGAATTTGGGAACCGATTTGATGTGAACAACTGCCCCATCTGCTACCACTGGGTCACCTCCAGGCCTCAGGAGGCTGCAGTCTTCTCGGCTGATTACAGAGGCTGCCACATGCTGGAGAAGGTAGGGTTCTTCATGCTCTGGCACAGGAGCAAGCTTGTCTTAGTATCGTGTCAGGCTGGAGAAGGCCCCTCATGGGCCAGAAGGGAACCAGAGCCCAAGATCTGTTGAGTTGGTGGGTGAGGGAAACTAAGTCCTGGAAGGGACTTTCTGGGATCCACCATGAATCCAGCTCTCTGCCTAACGGCCATCTTAGCTCTCAGGGGCCACCCTCTGCCTGGGATGCTAGGTGGCCTCGCCTTGCTGCTCTCTGGCCTCTCACCTGCAGGATGGGCATTTTCACCTGAGGGTATTCATGGAGGCTGTGCTGCCCAATGGTCATGTGGATATAGCACAAGACATTAATCTGTCCCAAACCTGTCCACCCCTGGACTCTGGACTCCCAGCTGGCACCACCTGCCATGTTCTCTGTCTTCACCCCACAAACCCTTCCCATCCATCCCACCTCTGGCCACACCTCCTCAGGCTCTGGCCACGCCTTTCCCAGCCCACTGGACCCAGGGCACAGCTCCGCCCACCCAACTCTTGCTTTACCATTCCCTGGACCTGGACCTGCCCTCGAAACCCTGGCTCAACGCCACTGGGGCCCCATGGAACGCTGGGATGTGAACCAATCAGCTTACGTAGGTATGCAGGACATCTGAACGTTCCGTACCCTCTGTCTGGGGCCTTCTGGAGCCCAGCGTGGCCTAACAGCCCTTTACTGGGCTCTAAGACGCCATTTCTTTCTTTTTTCTTTTTTTAGAAAACCATGATTCTCCTATTCCTTTGTAGTATTTGGAAAAACAGCTTTAAACATGTACAAGTATACTAAAGCTAGAAGAGGTCTTGCCAATTTCTTGCTGCCTAACTTTAGGCAGAAACTCACTAAAACCATTGCCAGGAACACCCGGTTCTCAGAAAACAGTCTCTCGAGATTTCAGTAATATGCACTTTTCAGGGAGAACACTTACTGTGCTGGTTACGAGCACAAACTCCAGGCCTGGTGCAGTGACTCAGGCCTATAATCCCAGCACTTTGGGAGGCCAAGGCAGGTGGACCCAAGGTCGGGAGTTTGAGAACAGCCTGGCCAACATGGTGAAACCCCGTCTCCACTAAAAATACAAAAAAAATTAGCCAGGCGTGGTGGCAGATGCCTGTAATCCCAACTACTCAGGAGGCTGAGGCAGGCGAATGGCTTGAACCCAGGAGGTAGAGGTTACAGTGAGCCAACATTGCGCCACTGTACTCCAGCCTGGGCAACAACAGTGAAACTCCAAAAAAAAAAAAAAGAAAAAGGCAGAAACTCTGGAGCAGGTTCCCAAGATTCAATTCCAGGGCCACAATTTGCAAACTGTGTGCCTTCAGCCTCATCGTTCTGTCCCAACCCTAGGTACCCACCTGAGCCAGGAGCAGTGCCAGGTGGCCTCGGGCACCTCCCCTGCCTCATAAGAGGAACTTCAAAGGAAGCCTGTCAGCAGGCTGGCTGCTGCTATGACACCACCACAGAGATTCCCAGTTACTATGGCAACACAGGTACAACCTCCCACACCAGCACCATCCTGGTCCCCTGGATTCTGAGGCGGAAGCACAGCCACCTCCTCCAGCTGCTGGAAGCTGCTTCCCATCCTCCTCCTGGAGAGCCCAACTGCCAGAGCAGATGGCAGAGGAGACCTTTAGATGGGGCAATCATATGTCCCAGCTGGCCTTATAACAGCTGTCCCAGGGAACTATTAATAGATCTACCTTTACACACATCTGTACTTTCAGATCTAAAACACCCTGGTTTGGATGACAGATTCTATGGTGAGGTTACTTTTAGAGTATAGTTCAACCCAATTGTCTCATGGATGAGACAGTCTGTAAAGGGTTTGCTGGGGCCAGCACCGGCCTAAGTGGAGAGTAAGCGTCTAGACTCCCAGGCCAGCACTTAAAGCCTGGCTCTCACCCAGCCATCCTGTCTCTGTGCTGGGTGAATACCAAATCCCAAGGCCCTCATCTGCCTTTGTCCCAGCTACTGTCCAGTGCTTCAGAGATGGCTACTTCATCCTTGTGGTGTCACAAGAAATAGCCTTGACACAGAGGATCACACTGGCCAATGTCTGCCTGGCCTACGCCCCCACCAGCTGCTCCCCGGCACAGGACACATGCTTTCGTGGTCTTCCAGTTCCCTCTCACCCACTGTGGAACCACAGTACAGGTAGGGGTCGGGACCACAGGCTGGGGCCTGGTTCCCCAAGAAGTCTTCACCCAGCCGTCTCTTCCCACAGTTGGCTGGCGACCAGCTCGTCTATGAGAACCGGCTGGTGGCCAGTATTCACATCCAAAAGGGGCCACAGGGTTCCATCACACCGGACAGCACCGTCCAGTGAGGGCGGCCCTCATCCAACAGGCATGGCTGGGGGCTGGGGTGTTGTGGCACAGGAGAGCTCAGAACAGTTTTTGGAGCCATCTGGGTTGTGCTGGGTCCAGTGGGCTGGGAAAGGCGTGGCCAGAGCCTGAGGAGGTGTGGCCAGAGGTGGGACGAATGGGAAGGGTTTGCGGGGTGAAGACAGAGAACATGGCAGGTGGTGCCAGCTGGGAGTCCAGAGTCCAGGGGTGGACAGGTTTGGGACAGATTTGGAGCCATCTGGGTTGAGCCCAGGTTCTGCTGTTACCTGGTTATGTGACCTTAGGCAGCGGGCCCACCTCTTCCCAGCCTCCCCTTTCTCAGGGCAGACGTGTTAAGTGGGGACCTTCCATGCCAGGTCTGCAGGGCTCAGCTAGAAGCCCATGGCCAGTCCTGAGAGAGCTGGAGTTCTGAGACAGCCCGGTCTCGGTCTCTCCAAGAACAAAGCTCAGAGCAACTGAAAGCGTCCCCTTCCAGGTCCCAGGAAGAGGCTGAGGTTATGGCTGTTGCCCCTCCTAATGTCAGGTTAAGAAGCCACAGATGAAGCTGAAGATACATGGGGCTGAAGCTGTCTGAGGATGTGGTGGGAGAGGAACCGGGCGGGGGAGGAACCCCTCATTGTTAGGGGCCTCCTGGACCTGCTGATTCAAGAGGCAAAAACCAAGCCAGGTGCCCAGGATGCCAGTGGGGGTGAGCCGAGGGAATGTGTCTGTCACACCTGGCCCTGAACCTGTGTGGCCAGGTGCAAAGCACCTAACCTCAGCCGCTTCACCCTGTGGGACCCGGCCAGTGCATTAGCCATGACTTGGAGAAGCGCTGTGCCTGACCCTGCATGGATGCCCAGGCATCTCCTTCGCCCTTCCCTCCCTGCCATGAGGGTTGGGGAGCAGGGGCTGCATCACAGTTCAAATGTATTTGGCTTTAAAGCTCTAAGTACCACAGAGGTGGTAGCTCACGCCTGTGATCCCAGCGCTTTGGGAGGCCTAGGTGGGAAAATTGCCAGAAGCTCAAGACCAGACTGGGCAACACAGTGAGATCCCATTTCTATTTTTATTTTTTTAATGTTTAATTTTTTAAAATTCCTAAGTTCTTATGGCCAAGTGGTGGGGAACAAGTCTGGGTCATGCCCTAGACTCCCGGTGTAAGAGCTATGGGAGTCAGCCAGAGGTCAACACAGCGACTAGGGATCCTGGAGGGAGGCAGGGGTCAGGGGAAAATAGCTGTAGCCGACAGGACTAGGCCAGAGGGCTCCTCCAGAACAAGGCCTCCGGAACAGGGGCAAGCCACTTATACCTACTTAGCATCTCCTTGGTGCCAGGCCTCTGTGGTACTAGGAGGGTGTGGGCCCCAGCAGAGTGTGGAAGAGCAGCCACCAGGCCCTTAGCTAGTGAGGAAGATGCTAGACACTGTGGCCTTTAGGCTGTGGCAGACCAGCTGCAACTACATGGACAATGAAGATGACATTATCTTGGATCTCATTGTCTCAGAGCCCTCAGAGGGAGGCAGTCATGGCCATTTTACAAATAAGGACACTGAGTTTTAGGTTAAAAAGACTTGCTTATGGTCCCAAAGCCTGTAAATGCTAAGGAGACTCCAACCCAGGTCTGCCGGGAGGTAGAGTGCCTAGACCCACCTGCAGGCTCCAGGAGCCTGGAATGGCACAGTAGGCAGCTATGGGTAGCCAGGGCAGACCCAACAAGGTGCCAGCCCCCCAGGGACCCATCTCCATCCTGCCATATTCTCCCACGAGTTGCAGGGCCTGGCATAACAGGCTTGAACCCTCCCAGGGAGACAGGATGAAGCAGGGCGAGTTTCCTGAGCCCACCTTGGAAATGCTGAGTGTTGCTTACGTAGCATCCCTCTGCCTTGCTGGACAGGACCGTTTGTTGTATCCAGAGTTGATACCTAGTTTCTAACGTGAACAGGATGCTCTGATTCTGTGTTTCTCCCCCACCCTCATGCACTGCAGGCTTCATGTGTGCTGTGTCTTCAACGCCAGTGACTTCCTGCCCATTCAGGCATCCATCTTCCCACCCCCGTTGCCTGCCCCTGTGACCCAGCCTGGCCCCCTGCAGCTTGAGCTGCGGATCGCCAAGGGAATGCTATGCTATGCCTGCGCTCTTCAGGCCCCGATCTCTGACGCACAGCCCACCCTGGCTCATGAGTCGCTCTCCCTGCAGATGAGACCTTCAGCTCCTACTATGGGGAGGATGACTGTCCCATTGTGAGGCTGCTCCGAGAACCAGTCCACGTGGAAGTCCAGCTTCTTCAGAGGACAGACCCCAAGCTGGTCCTGCTGCTGCACCAGTGCTGGGGTGCTCCCGGTGCCAACCCCTTCCAGCAGCCCCAGTGGCCCATCCTGTCAGATGGGTTAGTGTCCTCAAGCTCCCCCGACCTGTTCTGCCTCCTATAAACAGCCACTCTGACTTCTCTTCTTCTCAGATGCCCTTTCGAGGGTGACAGCTACAGAACCCAAATGGTAGCCTTGGACAGGACCACACCTTTCCAGTCTCACTACCAGCAATTCACTGTTGCCACCTTTGCCCTCCTGGACTCGGGCTCTCAGAGAGCCCTCTGAGCACCGGTAAGAAGCCCTGGCTGCCGCATACTGGCCCCATGTTAGGTGGGGGGGAGCTGGTCACCAACCCCTCTGGCACCTTGTGAGCTTATGTGAACAAAGTTCCAGGGATGGGGCTTGACTTCTACCAGGTGTCATGGAAAGCAGCTGGCTTTGCATCAGAAACAGGTAACCCATAAATGCCACCAGGAGGAAGGAAAATGCTGCCTGCGCTGCAATCAGCCCCAAATCTGAACTCTGGTCGTGGCGTTCTAGGGTAGCCTCACCTCACTTCTGATTCCAGAAATGATAATGTCTTCCACGTAATTCTGCTTTGAATTTTCTTTAACTCAGCAACTTCTCCAGAAGGTAAAAGTCGATAAACTTAAGGTATATTTAGGTTTTCTATGTAATACACAGATGGCCCCCCAAGGCAACAGATGCCCTGTAACTCCTGTCCTGTTGAACAATGTATCTTTCACATCACATACACAAATCTCTGGGTGCTTAAATCACTGTTATTATGTCACATGTAGACTGATTTCACTGGTAAGCAGTTAGGGTGGCTTCGTTCTCATCTCTGCTGAGTGCTGCCTCCTGATCTGAGAGATGCTGACCTGCCTGGATGAGGGGCACCCAAGGGTGAGGCCTCCTGGGTGCTGGGTCGGGTCAGCTCCTCCTGCCTCTGCTCCCATAGGGCACTGCCCCTGCCCTGGTGTATCCGGAAGCAGTGGTAATCCGCCCTCCCCTCTGCCCCCAGCCACCGGTCTCCAGGGGTCACAAAGGGAGGGCAAACATCTATTCCCCTGCTGCCTGGTCAAGCCCCAGCCCCTGCAACTTGCTGTCTCCCTCAGTACGGCAGGTGGAAGGGAGCAATCCAGCCCACCCAGGGGCTGTGCAGCCAGAGGCAGCATTGGTGGAGCAAGCCCGCCAAGGGCTGGGGTTCCACAAAGGTGGTGGCCCCACCTGCAGACTCGGACCTTGGGGAGGAAGGAAGGTGTGGATTTCGAATTGGGAAGGAACACACTCAGCTCTGCGCTCCCTCAGCATGGGCGCAGTCATGGTCTCGGTCTGCATGCTCAGATTTCCCCTGCCTGGCCAGCAGCCAGGGGCCCAGCTAGGGAATCCCACGTCCCTGCCTCTGCTTCCTGCGCAGTGGTGCTGAGCCAGCCGCTCTGATGTTCTCCTCCCACCAGGTGTACTTCTTGTGCAGCACCTCTGCCCGCCACACCTCAGGGCTGAAGACTTGCTCCACCGCGTGCCGCCCTGGGACGGCATGTGAGTCTGGGTGTGAGTGGATTTGTTCTTTCATTCGTCTTCAGGCCTATGTTTGGCTTTGAGGTCACAGGGGCCGGAGACCAGCCCAAGACTTCATTCTTCCCCCGGGCAGGACAGGGACAATCCTCAGGTCACCGTAATGACACTGCCAGGCCCCAGGACATGGTGAGCTCTCCGGGGCCAGTGGGCTTTGAGGATTCTTAAGGGCAGGAGCCCACAGGTATGAGGGCTTCTGGGTGGGCCCCTCAGGCCTTACAGCTCCCACACCCCCAAGACTGTGCTGACAAAATGGGATGCTCCAGTCATAGCTGAGGGCAAGAGATGGTGTAACTGCAGTCAGTGGGGAACTAAGTGAAGACACAGTCCACCTTATCTGCTGAAAGGCAGCTTCAGCTCTGCCCAGTGTGATACAAAGGTCTGGGGTGGAGGAGAGTGCTGGAGGGGCCTCACCCAGCCCTACCTTTTCCTTCTCTCTTAGCCTGAGGCCTCTCCTGTGGGTGGTCCTTTCACTGCCAGCGGTTTTCTTGGTCCTTGGGTTTGGTGTCTTTGTGGGCCTGAGCCAGAAGCTCTGGGAAAGCAACAGTGAACTGGCTCAATAAACAATCTTTTCAAACCTACTGAAAGCAGTTGTGGAGAAGTTATTCGTGACAACTAGAGCAGAACTGCTTCGCATGTGAGAAACTTCCTCCAAGTCCGCTCTGTCCTTCCAGAACTGTGAGGCCAATTACAAATACTTCACATATGCCACACCCCGCAGAGGCCAACGTCCCCAAGGCTCATCTCCGGAGACTCAGCCTCTCTGCAAGGAATGGTGGCACTTCAGGCAGAGCAAACAGGACAGATACTGGAGGGTAAGACCTTGGCAGTCAGAACAGCAACAGCTGGGAACTGGGCCCCTGGCAGGAATGAATGGCTTGCAAAATCTTGTCACCTCCCCAGACACAGGAGTTCTGACGAGGGCACCCTCAAAGCACCCTGAGCAGTTGTGCACCGAGGACAAGCAGAGCTCTAAGGCTGAGTTGAAGGAGCACTTTGCAGACCCCCTGAGCTGCCAGCCTACAGCGAAAGGCTGCATTTATCACCATAGCCTCCTATCCCCTCCCGTGGCCTCCCAAGACTAGTCCATGCAGGGAGGGTTGGCACCCAAGGAATGGGAGCCTGCTGGTCCTGACCTGCCTGCCACCGTGGGCATGGCCACCATACAGGTCCGTGCCGGTGCTATGCCGCTGAGCCCGGTTTTCCCCTATGTAGCATGGACCTTCATCTCTGACTTGGCAGCAAAGCCCTTTCCAGACAGACATGTGGATCCTCTGGTGGAGGGATGGGCAAGGCACTAGGGTTCAGCCTCCAGGGGACAGGGAGAAGTATCTGGTAGGGAAGGCTGAACTTGCTTTCAGACACCTTTCTGGGCCGCAGAGCATGAGCTTAGAGAGCTTTAGAAGGGGAGCAAAGGTGCTTCAGTCAGGCCCGTGGCCTCGACACAGCCGTGTACCCACTACTGCCCCGGCTCTGGGCTACTCAGCCTTTCCTGCCTTCAGAATACTGGCCAAGCATGTGGACTCCAGAGCTGGCTTCTTACTAGCTGTGTGACATTCAGTGAGTTACTGAACTTCCCTGGGCCTCAGATTTCTCATCTGTAAAATGAGGTTAAAGTCTATTCCCATAGACGTATTGGATAAAATGAGTTAATAGATAAGAATGCTTAGAATAGTACGTAACAGCCAACAGTAACTGGGTGCTATTAACTACTAACTAGAACTTCATTTCCTCTTGCCCAAGCCTAATGCTTACCTTGTTTTTGTTGTCAATGTTTGGTTTGGTTTTGTATGCACAAGTTCCTGTGCCAATGTGAAGAGGGGGCTGGAGGAAACTGCTGTCTTTGGCTTTTCTAGAGGGAGAACATAAGAGGGGTAAGGCCTAAACGCCTGCCATGGAAACTAAGTGGCTTCCCCTCTCTGGGCCTGTCTTCCCATCTATGGCCAGCAATGGCCAGTCTTGCCCTGCCCAGCTTCCTGGCCTGTACAGGGGGACATAGGATATATTCTGCAGCGTCAGTGTGACATATGTGAGGATTCTTAGCTTGGCTGGTTGGAGGAGCCAGGCTGACTTACTCTTAGTGGCCTGGGTTCTGGTTCCTTCCAGCATCACCTCTTCCTCCTTCCCCTCCCTCCATCATACAAACTCGTGTAAGGATTTCAAACTTCCAGAGGTACCAATTGAAATAACACTGTGTAACTGAATTTTCTCTTTAACAAAAGGGTAGGTGTCTTGTGTCAGTTCCTATCATTTCAAACAGATGTCTTCTCTAAACTGTGGTTGAATTATGACATTTGATCTGTTGATGGGGACCATGTGGGTTAAGGAAGACAAGCGTTGAACACAAGTACGTAGTTCTCGGTATATTTTCTCAAGAGTCTTAGCACTGCGGGGTCAGGACCATACCTCTTATGACTGTGGGGCTCTAGGACTGTCCGAGCGTCTCCCCATGCAGCCCCACCATGCAGCCTTGCCACCACAGGCCAGTAACACGCTACATCTATACCTATCTGAGCAGCGTAAGGCAAACGGCATGACTGTTTTGAAGGGCCTCTTTTTGATTAGAAGCCAAGCATCTTTCTAGCCACTTGTATTGCGTAAGTTACCCTTCCTGTGTTTTACCTATTCTCCACTCTCATCTGTGAAAAGCTTTCACAAATCAAGGGGTCCGCATCCTCATTTTACAAACTTGCCATCTAATTGGCCACTGATTTTTCTCTGCGAGGTGCTTTCACCTTTGAAAGGATTATGTAACAACGAAGTTTTCCCTCTCATCTTGTAACTCTGAGTATGGCAAAGACTTTCCCCTATGCTATATAATCATCAGAGTCCATGTGCTTTACTGTGATACTTCGGGAACAAGGCAATTGTTCTCCTCCTTCCTCGTGTATATAGGTGCATGATTTTGGCAACTGATAAACTGTGTGTCTATGCTGTCAACTAATTCTATGTCAAAGGAGTCTGGTAACTGAAACAAATGTACAAACTAAATGAACAATGAAGTTCATTGCAGCACTAGGTTTCTCTCTTAGATTGCGAGGGGAAAGCAATCTGAGCTTTGGCTTTCCTAGGTAACTATCTAGTCTATATTTTGCCCAATGTAAAGCTTTTTTCCTCCCCTTTTTCCACCTCCTGATGTGAGCAGGCCCCTGCTGGGCCTTGAGAACAATTCATCAGAGCTGATGGGGACAGTAATAACTTTTGCTGACCTGTGGCAGGAAGCAGAGCTGCTCAGTGGCCATCAGGTTTTCTCTCTTCCTGCCCTTCTGGGGAGGTGACGGGCAGAGGCTGTGGCTCTATACAAGAGCTAAGGGAATCCCCTGCCTTTCCATTCTCTGGGCCCCCACCAGCTCCCATATACTTACATTGTACATTGAGAGTAAATTCACTTCATGGTGCTTGGTTTTTAATAAAGGAGACAGCATACTCCACCACCTGTTCAGCTGAAGTAAAATTCAACTCCTTGTCTGGACACTTATGTGAGAGCATTTCATGGAAAACTACCACTTCTTTTCCAGCTATAGGAACACTAGATATTCCATTCAACCTGAAGTAAACAACTAAACTGCCTGATTATAAATATTTAAAAATCTGCTTACATTACTGTTGAACTAACGTGGGCAGCAGGGGGTTTGGGGGAGGCATGCAAATAGGCCAAAAAATAAAAATAAAAAGCAAAAACTCTGGGAAGTTAAACTCAGCTTCTATTCTGGGAAGTTCTACAGAACCCTGGAGAGCCTGACCTTCTGCTTTGATGAGATCAAGCCCAGAGCCCGCAAAGGTGACCAGATGCAGGCCTCCTTTAAACTGGGGCTCCGGAAGGCCCAGTCCTAAGTGTAAGAGTGAAGGAGAAATAAGCCCCTGGCACAGAGCCGGCAGCAAGGAATCATGCCTATTTTTATCTTGGGACTGGATGTATTGGAAAAAAACAAATCACCCTGAGAATGAAATGTGTAATTCCCTCTTCTCTGGTGTGTGCAGTAAAATCCTCAGACGGGAGGGGAGAGGAGAAAGGAGAACCCCTCAGGTTCAACCTGGGAAAAAACCTCAAGGGCTAAATTTAATTTAAAGTGATCCCAGGTGAGGTGATAATTAAAGTGATTCCCAGGCTTCAGGAAGAAACAAATGCAGGTCCTGTCTGAAAGAATGTGATTTCAGCCAAAGCCTCAGAGAATTCTGACAGATAAAGGTACAAATAAAATGAGCACCTCGCAATAAGAAATCACAAGATTCAGGGCACAAAGTGAGAAGACAACTGCAAGCCATTCTTGACGAAGGATTACAATCCAGAAAACACCTATGTTTAAAACTGCTGCAAATCAACAAGAAAAAGATAACACGAATAAAAAAACAGGCAATGGACACTAACAGGCATTTCACAAGAGGAAAAACTCAAATGGTCTGCAAGTGGCCGAAAAGATGCTCCACCTCAACAGTAATCATGAATGTGAAAATTAAACTTCAAGGTATTATTATACAGCCAGCAGGCTGGCAAAAATTAAAAAGCCAGAAAAGCACTAAGCACTGGTGAGGGTATGAAGACAGGAGCGCTCCACCAATGTTAATCAGAATATGAACTGGTAAACCTACGTTGAAAAACTGCCACTCCCTAATATATGTCCTCTCCTAAACATCCTAGAAACACCCTTGCACCAAAATGTCCACAGGAACACACTAATAGCAAAAGAAAACTAGAAAGAACCCACATGTCCATAATGAACACTAAAACCTCTAAACACACTGTGGTATATTCCTACCATCAAATTCTACGATGAATGAGAGATAAGAGTGAACCTGTTCATCCCTTGCAGTTTGGCCTCCCAGGAAAGGAGTTGGCCCCCTACAAGGTTCCATGGAATCTAGCCATTGCTAAGTGCCTAAGACACTGATCAATTACAAGGTTTGGACCCCAGCCCTTTAATCACGTCAGAGGAAGGGCTGATGCTTCTCCAGCCATGAACACAATGCAGTTAAACCTAGCTGCTGGCTGACCACATCAAATAACTGCAGCAGCAAAACTTAGACTCTAGAATCCTGATCACAGAGGGAGGAGGAGCTGTGCTTCCTAATCATGCAGCTTAAAAGCCCCACAGCCCCATGCCAGGATCCCTCTCCCAGAGTGCAACGTCCCAGAATGAATGGCCACGCAGGACCAGCACATCCGCAGCTATTCCTACCTTCAATAAATGCTGTCACAGCACCCTAGTGTGAGTTCTGTTTGGCCATTTTCCTTTGTTTTCCCAAGAGTGAATGAACCAGGGCTATGCGTGTAAATACAGGTAAAAAGCACGATGCTAAGAAGATGAAATCAAAGAAACTAGATTGAATGACTTCATCTACATAAAATTCAAAAATCAGTTCCCAAAGCCCCAGTGTAGCAGTAAAATTGTACAGAAAAACAAAGGAATACTCAGCACCAATTTCAGCGTAGTGGTTTTCTCTGCAGGGATAGGGAGGGATGCATTCATTGAAGAACACACCGATGGCCCCTAATGCTTGCTTCAGCTGGCTGGTGGACACAGAGATGTTTATTATTCTTTAAACTGTACAGGTACATTTTAGA